TAACTATAGAAAAAATATTGTAATCTATTATTATCTCATTTACTATACGATACCTAAACCGATGGCTAACTCTCATCTAAAAGTCATTATAAGGCGCTATAACTGTAATAGAAAACTATCGGAAAAAAGTATCCTGTACAACTATTAGGCTGTTGGTAGTAGTTGTGTATGTATTTGTTAGCGGACAGTCGTGTGTGTGTATGTGTGTTGTTAAGTACCACAAGATTTAAGTCATAAATGATTTGATACACAAAGTAATCAAAACTGAATTTAGGTACAAAAATGGTGTATTATATGTCGTATAAGTATTTTAGTTTACAATTGAATTAATGGATTAGTTTATAATTAGAGTTAAATTTAGAAATGTTTAGTTTGAAACATGTTTGTGTATGTGTGTGTGTGTGTGTTTGTGGTGGATCATATTTTAAAAAGTATTTATAATTAAAATTATTTATAAGTATAATTTATTTAGAAAAAACAATTTAATAGTATATGTATAGTAATAATGATAATAATAATTTCTTTTCATTAATAAAACATTGAATAAATTATTTATTAATAATCATAATTAATTTTCAATTATTATATTAAAAACTTTTAATAATGGCTTGGCTCTGAATAATGTACTTGATACAACTTTTAAAATGTCATTTGTCTGGTTGCATTGGTTATTTAAATCGCGTCTCAAATTATTATTATTATTAATTATTAATATCATCAATCACAATTTAATTTGATAGTCAAAAGTGTGTCAAAACATGGTATATATGTTTGGCAACGGAAACACACACTCGAGTGGTTTTTACGACAAATTTCTATTGCATTCATAACACTCTCTCTATGGCATCAACTCTAGGGACAGTGCATCTCTCCATAGTATACCTGCTGCACCGGTAGGTAGTAAGTGGACAGTAGTGTGTCAGTGTGTGATTTTGTGAGATTGTTATCGGGGTATAAGAGAAACCGAAAATAGAAAAGAAAAAAAGAGAGACAATAATATATCTTATAATATATTTGTGGCACAAAAAGTAAACTACTTTTTATTTTGTGGATACATAAGCGATATTTTTAGGCTATATTTTGCGCTACGGTTTTAGATTAGCGTTAATACTATTTAATAGCTATTTTAAAACTATTACTATTAAGTGACTAGGGTTATTTAGAAACTATATTTAGAGACTATTTTATAGACAGTATAATCTAAAAGTACATACTATTGTTAATACAAACTATGATTTACTAATACTATAGTGAAAAAAGACAATTATATTAAAGATTATATTAATAGAAACACCACTTAATACTAGTTTAGATATTAAATACACTAATATTTACTAATTTATTCGCAACACTAATATTAATATAAAACTATATTAATGCTACAGTACAGTTATATTTAATATACACTACAATATAGAAACTACTATTTATTAAAAATGCATAGAATTAGTACATTATATCTAATATGACAGTATATCTAGGACATTTATCAGTTAGTATACTAATAGTAAATACAAACTAAATCTATAAGTACAGTATAGCAAAGTTATGACAAGTTATAAATAATATCTAATATTAGAGACAAAATATTTTAAAGAGATTTTTAATTCATAAGACAAACACATCTGCAAACTGTTAGGGGAACTACACCTCTAAATCCGGTATTACCATCAATTAAAAAATGGTAGGGGCTATGAAATTGCACTTTAATTGCAAATGATTTTTAATTGCTATGCTTTGTATGTTGCAACACTAATCGCTAGTTAATTAAGTGCTAGCTAAATTAATTCACTACTGGGCTAAAGCATTGGTATGTGTGTGTGAATGGATATACAGTGTAGTCTATTTATTTGTTAAATAGGTATTTAAGGTGTCGATGCCCGATAGCACCTACACTTTACGGGCACTCACATTAGTTTGTTTGGGGCCGACCCTTGTGTCCATTTCTTGCTCGTGGTATCAGTTAATGGTAAATGTATTTTGTTATAGACTTTTGGTTTAATGCTAATTAATGTCCACATAATTACCTCAATGTATCTCACAGTGTGTCTCTGTGCTGGGCCTACCTGTGCCCTCACATATCATATCAAAACTATTTGTGTATTCACTTAATGAAAAGCTTAGGCATAAAAGTCGTTGCATTCATAAGTCGTGTGTTTATGGCGTGAGCTATAGAAAGGTGTGAAAACTTTTTGACAAAAAATATATTTTCAACGATATATTATTTACATAAACAATTAATTTGTGTGTTGTTTGAGTTTAACGTTTAAACATAGTTTAAACGATTTGATTATATGTGAAACAAAAAACAACAAAATTCTTGATTAATGCCTGAATCACAGAATCACAGAATCGGTGCCCGAAAAACACAAATGCATTTAAAATGCAAAGTAATTATTCATTAGACGGCACACGTGTATGTGTTTGTTGTATGAATCCCTACCTAATCGATGCTCACATCCCGGTGCACACATGCCTGTGCAAAAAATCCTTAACTATTGGTTTGGAAATCAATTTGATTACAATTTCCACAAAGCATTGTATAAATTCTGGTACAAAATTCCTGTGACTAAAATTCTGTAGCAAATTCTGTTACAAAACTTTTTGTACATTCAATAATCAATTATTCTCTCGCATGTGATATGCATGTATAAATAGATGTGTAATCTATCTCACCCTGTATATATATCCTTATATAAATGAATATATTTGCTATCAATCCATAGCCTAATCTATAGGTTTTTCAATTGTATTTTAAAGATTCAATTAAAAAATTCCTGCAAACATCTCAACCGTGTATTGTTAAGCAAAAATATTTTAATTTATTTCTCGTGTGTATTGTGTTTGGGATTCAACGCCATGTTTGAAAAGTTTGTTATTTTTATTTATAGCGTACAATGCATTTTGAATGCTATATACAGCCCGCAAGTTTTGCCATTGATTTCTGGGGGTATTTAATAATAAGTAGTATCAAGTGATTTTTAGATAAACATTTTTATTTATTTTCAATTTATCGTTTTAAAAATTTCATTTATTTATAATAATATTGCATCAAATTGTTTGTATGTGATCATGATGTTTTTATATTTTGTTCAGTCATTATTGTTTGTTCATTTTGAAAATAATGATAAATAAATTCACAAAAAAAATAATTATAAGAAAAAACATAATATGTTGAGAGAGACAGAGAAAAGAAACAAATAGTAAACTGAAAAATTGAGACAGCAAAAAAATTATAATTCATTTTAACAAACAATTAATTTCATTTATAATAATAATATATTTATATATAAATTGTCATAAAATTCGGTTAATTTTTATTTGTTTTCCAAATATATTTATTTATATATTTCATATATATTTATTTATCATGTTTGTCATTTTAAAATATAAGGCAATCATCAAGGTATATATATATCATATCAAATGTAAGTGTGTGTGATTGAATAATATAATAAATAAATTTCTTTCATTATATAATTAATATAATAGAAAACAAGGGAAAAATTTATTATTTAATTATCATTCAAATTAATATGTGTCTCAACAAACAAAAAGTCAAAAAAGTGTGTGTATTATGTTAATCATAAATGCAAAAAAGTGTGTGTAGGTGCTTTTTATTATCCAAATATTATATTTTTAAGTCCTTATATAACGCGTGAGTGAATGACTAGTCTTTATGGGTGTGTATATAAAGTGATATAAATTTTGTTTGATATATAAATTTTATTCATATATTTAACCAGTGCAACTTTTTTGTGTGATATAGTGCGAAAAAGGCTTGCATTTAATATGTGTGTCAATCAATCATACGATAAATGTCGATGTCGTCTCTCGTATAGTATTTATGATTATTTTTTGGTAAATATATGATAATATGATTGCAGTTTTTGCTCACAAAAAGTCACTTTTTTAATCTCATATTTGTGTGGAGACCAGAAATGCTTGCGAATGGAAAATATGATTTGAGAGAAAATTTTTATATAATTTTTTTCGTAGTTTAAAAATAATATGTATATAAAAAAAGTTTTTTTTAAAATTTATGTGTGATTTTAAGGCTTTTGTTTTTTTGAATAATAATCATAATATTGTGTTTCAATCAAAAAGTGATTTCATAATAATATGCGATAATATCATCGAAAGCTGATATCAATTGAGAAAAAAATTTAAAACTTTTTTTTGTATAAACTTTTCCCTCATAATGGTCTGCAATATCATGAGTGGACAGGTAGTCAAATGAGATAAATGCATGTATTTTTCAGAGATATATGGATGTATGTGGTGAGTGAGTGAGTGGGTGAGAGGATAGAGATACAGGTGCCCAAACATAGTGTGTTCATATGGTGTACAAATGGGGATGAGAACCGGTAGTACAGTAGCGGTATTCGGTGTGTATAATCTCTCAAATAACAAACCCTTTACAATAGGGGGGAAACATGTGTTTAAGTGGTTTTTGTCTCAAAAAATTATTTTTAAATAGATTTTTAAAAATATATTTATGTTTTGCTCAAAAAGTGTCGAGTTTTGTCTGTTATGTATAGTTCCTCACAAATATGTCATTGCTGATTTATATATTTATATAATTAATATAATTATAGTATAGACGAGTAATAAATAATAAATATTATTTATAACTTATTATTATTCTTATAAAGATCTTAAAATTTCATATTTTAAAAACATATTAGACTATTTTAAATATAATTTAATTTATAATATAATATATAATATAATATATAGGTTTTAAATATAAATATATTTAATAAATATTAAATAGAAATATATTTATTAATTTGAATTCGTAAATCGATAATAAAATTTATCAAAATAGATCGATAGAGTGCGAGTGAGAGAGGTAAAATTAAAATGAAAAAAACCAAAAAACATTACTTAATTAAATTAATTTATATTTAATAATGTATTTGTAATATATTTATATATATAACGTATACGCATATACAGATCAGGGACTAATCCATATACACATAACTTAGAGAGAGGCTCGGAGATAATAATATTTAATGGAAAAAAAACTTGTCAAAATGATCATGATCATAATAATCACTAGCTCGATTATGATTATATAAATGGTATTGTGTGTAGCGTATAGTCAGAGCTGCTGTAGAGCATGCATATGGCTGTTGAGTAGTGAGGTTTGGTCCAGTGGTATGCAGATGCCTTGTATATGATTCAAATTCATACCTGCAAATGGGTAGCCAAAGCCGGGATAACCAGGGTAGCCGCCTCGGCCCGCGTAGCTGGCGTACGCCGCTGGAAAGCCTGTGTCCAATGGCGGTGATGGGGTGGGCACCGGGAGTATTGGGAGAGGGAGAGAGAGAGAAAGTGGTATAGGATTAGTGATATTCGTTATATAATTTTTTTTAATTATGAAATTCTGTGTTATTTTTTAAATGAGATTCATAATAATATATTCTGGGTAGACGCAAATGAATGTATTGATAATAATTTGAGGTTATTATATGAGCTTGCTAATTTTTGGATACAATATTTAGTACATTTGGTTCTTATATAATTAATTTTAAAAACTTATTTGATTTTTATAAAGTTTATTTTATATTATACAATGTGGTTATTTGATTAACTAAACTTGTGATTATAGTTTTATGAACTCTAAATATAGCGCACTAATTAATAGCCAGGTTTATTTTCGCAAGTAAATAGTTTATAGAAATTGCTGCATAAATAAATTACACGTTTAAAAATATATCAATCAATATAAGTGAACAGAATTATAATGACATGTATTTATAATAAGAAATACTCTGCTATTAAAACATCTCTTTTTCTGTATTGACTAGAAATGCAAGTCTTTTGAGTCCATTTACACAATGTTTTGTGTGTTTGTATGTGTTTTCTGTTATAATACTACAGAATATTCTGGTATATAATGCATACCATAAGCATTAAAATACTGAAGCAATTCACAAAACACATCGTAACACACTTATCAGATCAATAAATTGAATTTTTGGCCCCAAAAATACACTACAAAAAAGTCTGTAGTCAATCAATAATAAGGCATAAAGTCTCTCAGCGATTATATTCACGAATATTCTGTATATATATTCTGTGCCTATTTCTATACACATATATAGTATACAAACATAGCATTCAATCGCATGCGAATCGGTCGGCAATTGATTGCTAGATAACAACGAGTGGAGTAAAAATCAATACGAAATATATTAATCATATATTACTACTCCGTAAAAAACTACTAATACACAATTGAAAGCCATTAATAATAAATCTGAAGTTAGCGAGTAACAAAATATAGTGTGTACCACAAAAACGCAGTATGTATGTGCTTTCAAGTTTGCATACATACAAACAAATATCATTGATATATATGTGGCTATCATATCGCTATTCACTACAAGTCGGCGATTTATTTAACAATAATAATTTGTACCCAAAAATAGATTATATCAATACTATATACATGTTATATAAATTAAATATATAGAAATAGTCGATACAAACTAAAAAACAGGGCTTACCGTCAGTCAGTGCTCCTAAAGGCCAGACTAAATCTGTCGGATCAGATGTTTGGAAAACAAAAACAACGGAGAAAAAAGGACTTGATTAAATAAATTTGCAAATAAAATCACACATTTTAAATACTATGAGAATATAGAGACAACACTTATAAACACGACTAACGAAACAGAATATTCTCGCGGAATATATCACTAATGAAAATAAAAATATATGTTTTATGTGTTATACATATAATGGCATTCCGACGAAAATCATAAGAAATTATAAACGAGTTAATAATAGTCACGATAAGTACGAGCTAGATGAAACTTATAAGCTATGTTATGTGAGTGTATGTATAACAAGCATTCACTGTGACGGTTACCATAAGCACCCCTACCAGCTCCCCGGCCTCTGCCGACGTTGTTAGGCATCATCACTTCTTTGGGCTGAGCTTTTTTGCATTCAACCTGCACATCCCCGGCCACCCAAGTATCCCATTTAGTGTCCCATCAAGGTGTATAAGGGTATAGGCGCCAATGGTGTCGGTGGTGATGGGTATATATGCCAGCGCCCGACCATTAAGTTGTTATCCATTTCCCAGTGATTGGTATATTTGTACGGTTTTTGAAGTCCAATATTGGTGTGAATGTAATGATTGGATAAAAAGTATTCGTAATTAGAAAACAATTTTTATGGATATTTTGTTGTCAATGTATTAATCAATTTATTTTTTTAACAGCCAGTGCTCGCAGAGTGGCCTAAGATTTATGGTTAAAATTTATGGCATAATCACAGAATAGGCTTAAAGTTAGTTGTATTGCGAAACAAGTCATAAATTGTGACCAAAAAACATTAAATGGATTTTATATTTGCTTTTTTATTGTCTGCAGAATATTCTGGGAATTCTGGGAATATCTCTAAAAATTCAGTCTTGACTTTGAGCCTAAGTCTCTCTCTCTCTCTCTCTCTCTCTCTCTCCCTATCAGCCTAACCCTAACGGTTAGACTAATGTCCGCATCACCGGCTTTAGGGGGGAAGTAATTCATCAAATACTGGTGCGACTCATTGAGCGCCCGGACTGACCGAAAAGCATTAACATATCGAAATCGCAGTCAAAACACAATTATAGAAAACCTTATTAAAACTCAATGTTTTATTTATATTTATACTTAAGGTATAATTTATAATATTATAAATCTGTCGAAAATCAAAATCTGCAGTGAAATGTATATATCGTGTGTTTTGGTATTGATTTTCAATGGTATGGCATAACAGCATATTATAAGAGTCTCTCTCTCTCTCTCTCTCTCTCTCAATGGCATTATATTTACAGAAAAATATAATTCCTATAATGTCTTAAGTACTATACAAACAGTATTTTATTGATCACTACTTTATTCTTCTATCACTACTTAACGTTTGAGTTCACTATTCGTTTGTTAAGAGAATATCGTATTGAGTGCACAGAGAAAGAGGAGAAAAAAGTTTGAGTGAAACTTAAACTTCATTTTAGATATAAAGCAAAAAATAGTTGTATTGAAGATATAGTGAAACAATAGTGAGGAGAGAGAGAGAGAGAAAGAGAGAGAGAGAGAGAGACTGAAAGTTTGACTCTTGAAGTGCAAGGCTTTCGAGTTGTTTTCTATGAGAAAGTGATGTACAATAAGGACATACATGTACTGTAAGTTATGTTTGTAGTGCTATTTGGATGAATAGAGAGCACCAGAAATCAAGTGCACAACACATATATTGTACACAATATATCACAGAATTATAGTTAAGAATCCATATGAAAGAAAATAAGAGAGAGAGAGAGAGAGAGAGAGAGAGAATACTAGAAGTTTATACCATGAGCTCAGAAATACACACAAAAAACTAAAACCGTTTTTTGGTGCAACAAAAAAGACTGAAAGCATTGATTGATTTTTGTTCACACAATTAACTCAATACCGCAAATGTTAATATAAATAGAGGTATAGTTTGCCTAAATAGAGAACGGGAATGAAAGGGAACGGCAGTCGTGTATAAACACTGGTCAAGGGGCCTAAGAATATACCAAACAACCCGCACACTTATCAACAAGAATATTCTGTAACAGAATATCTCATTAACTACCACATATAGCTAGCATATTATTTAATTTAATATTAATATTATACCAAAACTTCACTGTATTACGTATACTCTACAGTAGTAAATATACCCTGCGCACCCATTTCAAGACACAATGAATGAAGACTTTTATCAATGTTGTAGCTTATGGGCACTGGTATGCCCTGGATATACGAGTAGCGTATAATCTATCACTGGTTATACAATTTTATACTCCTATTTAAGTTAAGAACTAAACATTTTTTGCCATCAATTCTATTATATTCTACTTAAAGGCAAACCCTGTGTTCTATTCGCTTATATGTATTGTGTGTCTAATAGTATAACTAATACACAGCTTTAAAGTAACGGCTTATGTATGGCTAGGGTTTTGGTTGCGTTGGTTAGACTGCCGTTCCCTTCAAATGTCTCTCAGCTGTGATTTCGATGGTTTTTGTGTGTATGTCGTTGAGAAGGTTTGTGCGGTTCGCTACCAAAACTGGCAAAACAATTGCCAGAAATAAATTATATAACAGTATAAGAGTTTTTGTGTCAAAAAATTTATGATAAATTGCTCGCTCAGAGTAATTCTGGTGCTCTCTCTCTCTCTCTCTCTCTCTCTCTCTGAAAAAAGTAAATTCTTATATAAAAGTCAGAGAGAGAGAGAGAGAGAGAGAGAGAGAGAGAGAGTTCACTTAATACTTAAATTGGAAAATCGTTTTAATGAAGCAGAAAATAATTGCATTAAATTAAATGTAAAACTTTTTTCTCTCTCTTCCTCCCTTTCCCTCTCACTTCCCCCAACACTCTCCCATATCTAATGTCATATAATTTTTGGGCCAAAAAATAGTCCAATTTTCTAATCCATTAGTTTTCTAATTCGCCTAAACGCTAAACAACACAACAAAACAGCAAAAAATAATATATTAAACACAACAAAAAATTAAAGTAATTTTTTTTGTTATGCACTTTGAAGCCATCGGAATAATGTACGAGAATATATTCATTATAATACATTGTATTAGCATTTCATTTTATAAATTACATACCATTTTATTATTAATTTCATGGAAGTGTATTTCGCAAACTTTATCCACGACATCCTCGCTCTCAAACGTAACAAAACCGAAACCTATTTATGAAAATAGATCAAGATACAATTAATACAAAAATTTGGAAATTTAATAAACAATTAGTTATATAATATTATACCATTTTCTAAGCGCTATCGAAAAGTGTATTTTTGCAATATAGCAAAATTAATGATATATCATAATAAATAAATTTATTTATAACAATTTTATAAAAGCAATGCTAGGTAATATACACCATTAGCCACCTCTGAATGCAAAATAAAAATAAAAATAATTACCTTTAATAATTATAGTGCACTATACTCCATATACTGTATATATATATATAATTTACCAGTGTTAAACTTACAGCGACAAGCTTAAGAGTATTATATTTTTTGTGTTTCATAAAATTAAATGTTGCCGTTAATTATATTGCATTTTCTTTATACATTACACTCTCACTCCCCAATACTACCCGTCCCTCTAATCCCCTACTTTTTTTTGTACTCTAGAGTGAGAGACAAGGCATTAGTCGTATGTGTCGTTTGAATGCGAGGGGAATGGTATGAATTAAGTGAACAATACTTTTAATTAAAAAACACTACACTTTATTTATCACAGTATAATTTATGCAGCAATTTCTATAAACTATTTACTTGCGAAAATAAACCTGGCTATTAATTAGTGCGCTATATTTAGAGTTCATAAAACTATAATCACAAGTTTAGTTAATCAAATAACCACATTGTATATATTAAAATAAACTTTATAAAAATCAAATAAGTTTTTAAAATTAATTATATAAGAACCAAATGTACTAAATATTGTATCCAAAAATTAGCAAGCTCATATAATAGCCTCAGATTATTATCAATACATTCATTTGCGTCTACCAAGAATATATTATTATGAATAACCTCATAAAAAATAACACAGAATTTCATAATCAACAAATTATAACGAATATCACTAATCCTATACCACTTTCTCTCTCTCCCTCTCCCAATACTCCCGGTGCGCCCCCCATCACCGCCATTGGACACAGGCTTTCCAGCGGCGTACGCCAGCTACGCGGGCCGAGGCGGCTACCCTGGTTATCCCGGCTTTGGCTACCCATTTGCAGGTATGAATTTGAATCATATACAAGG